TTAATTTTTATGATTAATTCTGATGACCAGATAACAATAAAATCCTCCAGACCCCCCCAAAAGCAACTTCCTTTTCAATCTGTTTCCAATATTTTCACAAAGAAAAGCAAGAGAGAGGTTGGAACGTGTGTCAGGACCTGGCCTCCATAAGGAGCCTAGAACACATAAAAACAAAAGCTGCATTTAAAAGCTGTAGCCTGCCAAAGTCTTCTGTGCCAGAAGGATCAGCCAGGGAAATGGGATGGGGGAGTGACAAAGTCTGTGTTGTTTGAGGACTTGGTTTACCTGGTATCTGGTGAATTCCGGTAGGCTTTAAGCCTTACACTGTACTGTAGTTATGAGGACAGAACGTCTTGGCGCAGGCTCATCCTCTGTGCTGTACAGTATGGCACACGCCCCCATTTAGAGGCCATTCTCACTGGCACAGCTGGACTTTTGGCAGGCCAGAGGCTTCCAATGCAGTTTTGTTTCTGTGTTTTCGTTGGCTCTTCTCTCCGCTAAAATGTCGACAGTAAATGCCAAGAAAGTTACTTAACGTTAATGGAGGCTGCTGTGCTTCTTGGGTTTGGTCACTTTTTTAATACCATGGTTTGGAGAGGTCTACCTTGCGTCCACCACCTCCCAACACACTGGTGCCTTGATAGCCTCAATGAAGTGTCTAGCCCTTGTGAGCATGTGGCTTTCACAGCTCTGGCATGTTAAGTGGCTAGCACTCTTACCTCGGGACATGCAGTGACAAATGTGGGTTCAAGCCCCTTCTTGGGGCAGGAATTCTCCTGCCATGCTTGCCAAAGTGTTGGGGGCAACCTCAGTGCCTGAATAAAACAGGTTCCAATGTCCAAGGCTTGAATCATGCTGTGGCTGAGCATAAAATGGCTGCTGAATTTGCCTCCACAGTGATTGTGTTAACGTGGTCTAAGTGTGTTGTAATATTCCTTGGGATATATTGGGCCCGATCCCCAGCTAGTATAGTTGACGCAGATATGTTGACTTCAGTGAAGCTATGCTGAACTATACACACTGAGAAGCTGGCCCACTGAGTCTGAAAGCTACCTTGTTCTGTTCTGTTGTAGCTGACACTAACCAAGGAGATCAAATAGACTTTTATGATGCTAAGCCAAAAGAAATGCATCGCTTGCTAACCAGACTGTCTTCTCCCAAGGCACTTAGTTGCGGAGGAGTTTAAAAGATCTAACAGTGACTCAGAGCTGGGGATGGGGGCGGAAGGAGTGAAAGGTCAGAGAATAGCTTTCACTGTCCAGCTAAAGCCTGCTAAAATGTGGCTAGTAGAACTGACTGACAATTCCCCATCAAAACTCTTTAATGTAAAATGACCTTCTGTGACGTAATGTTTAGGACACCCAGATCTGCGAGCTACTCTGTTATCCCTCTGTCTTAGCAAGAGTGAGAGCTTTGCTACCGCTAAGATGTGTCAGCTCCCTGATGCACCAGCCTTGCGGCATACTCTTCAAGACTCTGCCAGTCTAAACTTGGCCTTGCCGGTAACAATCAGTGAACCTCAGTTCCCCACAGATATCCCACTGCAGTGTCCCGTCACTCACTGGACACTCTTAGAAATTTCTATGTTCGCTGCCTCCAAAAGGACAGAGCACACATCAGCCTATCAGGAGACTCACACTTCACTTTAATACACAGCATTGCGATGATTTTGTAACAAAAGAAGAATAGGTTTGTTAACAAAGAACAGAGATCCAAGTGACACTAAACAAGGGGAAAAGAGACAGGTCTGGTTACAAACAAAACAAAATGAAACACGCTTTCTAGTGACTAAAACTTAATCTTATCAAGTTACAATCTTTGCCTAAGTAGTTTTCTTACTCACATAAAGTTACCAGCATCTCCCGCCTGCCAGACCAGGGGATCCAACTTTCACAGGCTCACAGGTTGCTGTTCCCAGTGTCCTCTAAGTGATGGGTTACTCTGTCTTTTTGCTCCCCTTTGTGTTATGGATATAGATGTTGATTTTTGACCTTTTATGACCTAAATGGCCTGTGACTCATCTCCTTGTGTGACTGCCCTTCTCCCTGTGTGATGAGCTAAGCTCTGTGGAGGTGCTTGGGCTAGAATTTCTTAGGCCTAGTCTACACTAGGGGTGGAGATCGACCTAAGATACTCAACTTCAGCTACGAGAATAGCGTAGCTAAAGTCGGCGTATCTTAGTTTGACTTACCTCGCGTCCTCACGGCGCGGAGTCAATTGCTGCGGCTCCCCCGTCGACTTTGCTTCCGCCTCTTGCCGAGCTGGAGTACAGCAGTCAACGGGAGAGCGATCGGGGATCGATTTATCGCGTCTACACTACACGTGTAGACGTAGACTTAGTTATACTCGGCAGAGGGGCCTCTAGGAGGGCCCTTGGCCTTGGCCTTGGAACGCATTCCCCCTGCCTTGGTCTGAAATCGCTGTGAATTTGCTGACCTTTTGGGCATGCTGCAAAATACATGTTTGTACCAGGAGTGGGTCCTGGTTTGAGGGTTGGTACCTAGGAAGGGTAAGGTACTTGTCAGGGTCTGGCTGCTGGGTTTGGTTTTCACAGTATGATAAAGTGTTAAGAGGCACCAAGCACCTGGGATAGATACATTCTTACAGTCTGATACATTGGAAAAACCCAACTCCCCTTCTGTGAGGTGAGAGTTATTCTATCTGTTTCACAGCTGGGGGAGCCGAGACATAGGGAGGGTTCTGGCATGTGCCCATGGTCACACAGTGAGTCAGATTCCCAAGATACCCATTTCCCCGTCCTCTAACCGCTGTCTCCCAGGTTTTCACTGTCGTTGGGATGACCAGGCCAGGCAGAAGTTCTGACAGGCTGTAACATTCTCTCTTGCTGGCTGTTTTGTTATGCTTTGAGCATTCTGCCGGGGAGCAATGTTGCAGAATAGCAATCTGTGCTGTGCGTAATTTAACACCTGACTTTGGCTGCCACACAAAGGAGACCCTCTAGCTGTGTGTTGTAGGCTGCATGGCCCATCTTTTCTCCCATACCTGTAAGGTGATGGGGGATGGGTAGGGCTGGGGAGAGGGAGTGGGGGGATTGTGTGTATAGGTTCATTAGGTTTTTTAGGTAGTGATGTTGTTGTGGGGTAATTTAATTTGCTTTTGGGGTAACGGATCGGTCTATTCTGATATTGTTGGGGCACCCAGAACGTTGGGTCGGGAGCTCTCTTATTGCAAAACAGTAAACATCTACATGGAGAAACAAATCTCTCTCTCTCTCTCTCTCTCTCTCTCTCTCTCTCTCCCACAGAACTCCTACCTGGTGCTGGCTGGACTGTCAGATGGACTTGTGGCAGTTTTTTCAGTGGCACGCGGCCTCCCAGAGGACAGCTGCTCCTACTTGTGCTCACACACTGCGAATAGGTCCAAGTTCAACATCTTGGACAGTGACCCCCGGCAGAACCCCTACCCTGTGAAAGCCATGGAAATAACAAACAGCGGCGCCGAGGTCTGGTACAGCAATGGCCCTGGGATTCTCATCATAGACTGCGTGACCATAGATATAAACAGGAGGCTGGAGCCCTACAACCCTCCATCTGTGATCACATCTATGGCGTGTAACTCGGAGTACCATGGGGAGGAAGTGATTTGGTGCCTGGATGATAAAACGAACTACCTGGTGATGTACCATACTGCAACCTATCAGCTCTGCGCGCGGTACTTCTGTGGTGACTGCAGCCCTTTAAGAGACATGTTTACAATCCAGCAGCCTTCCGCAGGGATCCCTGCTACAACAGCTGTACACAGGACGGTGCTTGAGAGTAACTCTCTGGCTGACATGAGCATTATCTACAGCCCGGAGCTGGGCACACAAATATTAAACCATCAGGACTCCCTCACAGACTATTGCTCCGTGTCTTCTTACTCATCCTCCCCTTCTAACAGAATAACTAGGTCCTTCTCCAGTCTGCCGAGCTCTCCTGCAAGCTCATCCAGCGCGCCTTTCTCCATGGATTGCGAGGAGTCCGACAAGTTTCATGAACTGATCCCTTCCCCAGACAGATCTGAAAATGATGCTACACCAACAGATGAGAACACGTCTCATCTCCAAGCTGTAAAGATTCTTCCAGTCAAAGACCTCATCTGGATCCCGAGGTAAACACATACTCCGCAAACCAGATCCGAGTCACAAGTGGAGCATGAGTTAGTTTGGCTTTAGGGAAGCTCTCAAGGACTTGGGTTTTGTTTCTAATTGTAATTTCACATCAAACTTACCCAGGGTGGTGTCTAGCAGTAAGATACAACAAAAAAGCTACGTAACTGTCCCAGAATTTCAAGTTAGAAACCAACGTTTCTACAACTTTTGGATGGTATCTAGGGTTGCCCATTTGGCAAATTTGAGGTCTTGCAGGATTGTTTCCATTAGGACAAGAAATCCTGATACAAATCAGGTGTATTCTTGGTGCAAGCTTGTTTATTAAAAAAAAAATGTACTCAAAAACTTGTTTCCGTGGTCAGAGTAGAAACAAACATCAGCAGGCAGTTTTCTTGCCCAGAAATCCCCAAGCCCGCCACTCCTGTGAATCCTCTGCCCAAGAAGCTGTCCCTCTGCCTCTTCTCAGGGTCATGTTCACCACTGCTTTTGCTGGCTTTCTGCCTCTAAGGCAGAGGTGAAAGTGGGCTGGTACGGGCCAGTATGGCGTACTGGTAAGAAGTGGCCGCCGGTACCAGCCTGTACACAGCCCACGGTAAAGTGCTGCCGTGGCAGTGCTTTAAGGATCCTCCTTAAATCACTGCCACGGCAGCGCTTTAACGTCGCTGCCCTTCTCCCCCCCAGGGCCGCCGACAGGAGCGGCAAAAGGGGCAGCTGCTCCGGGGCCTGGCAATTTAAAAGGACCCGGGGCTCCCGGCCACCGCTACCGCAGCAGTGGCTGGAGCCCCGGGCCCTTTAAATCGCCGCCAGGCAACGTAGAAGGGCTGGCTGGGGGAGGCTGACTCCTTCCAGCCCCACCCCTTCTGTCTGTGGCCCCACCCCTTTAAAGTTATTTACCTTACTTTCACCTTGCTCTAAGGGTATGTCTATGCTGCGATGAAAGCCTAGGGTAAGTGGAATTGGAGTCAGCGGACCCTGGGTTAGAAAACCCAGAGCTTCAGCTTCTACACTGATTGATTGTCAACTCTAGGTTAAGAATTTTCTAACCAGGACCCAAACCTGGGAGTCCAGCATCCACACCGTGGTATGCAGATCTGAGTCCGACTAGCCATATCCCATACGTCCTAGTTCAGTGGTTCTCAAACTGGGGCCGCCGCTTGGGTAGGGAAAGCCCCTGGCGGGCCGGGCCGGTTTGTGTACCTACTGTACATGTGCTTTCCCTGACTGTCCGTGGCCCATGTTGTTGAGCATGATTGTCTCACTTTTGTCTGTAGGCGAGGTGGCGACATCATAGTTATCGGGCTGGAGAAGGAATGTGGCACGCAGCGCGGCAGAGTCATTGCCGTATTGAAGGCCGGAGAACTGGCTCCCTATGGGTGAGATTGAATTAGAGCCTGTATTGCATGTTCACAAAGGATTCCATCAGGGGAAATATAGCATCAGTGTCAGGGTGCAAGGCCTGCAATCCTCCAATTGGCCTCTCTCCCTTCGGGGCATTCTAGTGTGGATTCTATGCCATAGAGCAGGGATCGGCAACCTTTGGCACGTGGCCCACCAGGGTAAGCCCCCGGCGGACCGGGCCAGTTTGTTTACCTGCCCCGTCCGCAGGTCCGGCCGATTGCGGCTCCCACTGGCCGCGGTTCACCGCTCCAGGCCAATGGGGGCAGCGGGAAGCAGCGGGCGCCAAGGGATGTGCTGGCCGCCACTTCCCGCAGCCCCCATTGGCCTGGAACGGCGAACCACGGCCAGTGGGAGCCACGATCGGCCGAACCTGCGGGCATGGCAGGTAAACAACCCGGCCCGCCAGGGGGCTTACCCTGGTGGGCCGCGGGCCAAAGGTTGCCAATCCCTGCCATAGAGCAAGCTCCCAGCTGGAGGAATCACTGTGATTAGGCTTCAATTACACGGACAGGCCCTCAGTGCAAGTTAGAGCGGCCCTGAGGCTGGGATGGCCCAGGATTGGTAGAGCAGAGCATGCTGTGACTGGCCCCTCCTGCTCCTTATACTGGAACAAGCAGGAGAAGTTGGGAGAGATCTTCTCCCGCATGCCAGATCAATCCAAATTGGCTTCTTCAGGCAATGGTCATGATCTGCCCCAGAAACATCAGAGCAAGTTACACCTCCAGAGCTCTAACTGGCTGCCTTGTTTCCCAAGCTGGGATCAGTGTGAAGATAGGGCCTCTCATTGTGCAAAAGGTGATGTTGCGATAACTCTTGGCCCAATCCTGCCAGGTGCTGACTTCCCTGGGCTTTGCAGGCACCCGGCACCTGGCAGGAGGTCCTCAGTGCTCGGCAGACTCAGTCCCTGCATGAAGAACAAGAAGTGTATTTACTACAGAGCGCAGTGCTTGTCTGTGGCTTCATTCACTCAGGGCAGGTTGAAGTTCGGGCTCTAAATAAGCACCTTTGTACCAGCTGTGGCTCCTGGCACTCTGTGGCAAACAGTTATGGACATTAATTTAAAATGCTTCATGTAGCAACTGAGCTTCCAAGTAACTAAATAACCATGGTATAGTGTTGGGTTGTGTTTTGCTGACCATTTAAACACCAATATGTGATTGTGCTATTCATGGCAAGACAAAGCAAATAGAAGTTAAGCTGTGCTGTGTGTTATGAATGGCCATTTATTAATAAATAGCACAGATAACATGAAATCAAAGCCTTCCTTTCATTCACTTCCGTTGTTAGTTTGTGTCTTGTCATGTCAGGTATAGTGCTTTGTCCCTTTTATTACCTGCATAGGCCCATTTAGCTAGGTGGACTCGTTTCAGAGATTCACCTTATTTAAAAAAAACAGGAAGGAAAAGTATGGGGAGTCGAAGACCAGATGAAGTGGCCATTGCTAGACGTGTCCCATTTTACAATATTGCAGCCTTGCTGATTCAGGCACAAAGTCCATCGGCTCATCCTCTACCAGCAGGATGAAAATGATGAAAAATCCAACAATATTGCACTCCCAGTGACAACAACTTACTTCCCCTGGGTGTGGAGGCGTCTGCAAGGCTGCAATATCACTAAGATGCAGCCAGATACTGTACTGTGCCTCTGAGGAGTGGGGGGGGGAGGGGGAGAGATAAGGGTGACTTCCTTGGGGGCTACTCTGACTTAGGACAGCTTCCCCACAGCTGCCAAATACCAAACTCTCTAGCTACTCCTGCCATTCCTGGTTCCCCTGCCCCTGTGCTGGGGCAGGTCCCTTTCCTTTACCCCAGCGCTCCTTTATAGAGTGGCATGGATCCATTATTTGGATCTTACTAAATGCATGATGGGGCAAATTCTGCCACCTGTCCTCCCATTGAAGAGTCCCCCACTTTGTGAGCAGCCCCATTGAAATCAATGGGATGAAGGTCTGTCAAATCTGGCCTTACATTACTGCACGGTACTGCTGTAATCAAAAGAGCCTTGTAGAACTATGTCACTGTTGGGGTTTTTTGGGGTTGTGGGGGGAGGTGGAGGTGGCTATAATGTAATGAGTAGTTACACTGCTGTGTTTTCCTGTGTTAAATATCTCCAGCTCTCTTGGAAAAGCAGATTCGTTGACTGTAAGACAAACCCGAAGCACTTTGGGGTCTCACTTTTGCGAGGCTGTCTGGTTTCTGGGAGAGCGGCACCCCAGTTCACACTCCATTCTCCAACCCTGTTCTTGCTTTCCCAGGGCGCTGGTCGAAGCTGCTATCGTAGCAAGGGACACTGTTGTGTGCTGCTTTGAGAACAAAAACATGGAATGGTGCCTTGCTGTCTGGAGGAGCTGGGGTGCCCGAGAGTTTGACATTTTCTACCAGTCCTATGAAGAGCTGGGAAGGCTTGAAACCTGCATGCGAAAAAGAAGGTAGTGCTTGTCGAATTTAAAATCCAGCATCCAGGAAGGACGGACTACAGGGAACAGAAACGCCCGTCAGCATTCCAGCCTGGGCACTTTTGTATCCTTAGAAAAGGGTTTGGGTTGTGGGTTTTTTTTTCCCCCCCACATTTGCTGCTAAGGAACACTGCAGGGCTCTTGCAGAAGCTATCTCCCCTGCAGTGCATTTGCCAGAGACGCAGAAGACCAAACTAGATACCATTCTGTTTGTTTCCTCCTTTCTTTTCAGCAGGGGATAGAGATGTATTAAGTCCAGAAAGCGGGTGATCTCTCAACAATATTGCTCTAATGTGTACCACCCTCCCTATCCCTCCACCCATTTCCATTCACTTCTCTCTTTTGAGCCTCCTTTCTTCCACTGTAAATTCCCTCACAACCCCCACCCATCGGGGCAGCTGCTGCTTAGGTCCTCATCCAAAAGAGCTTTACTAACTACACAGATATGCATCTCTCTCCCTCCGAGACTGAGCTTTTACACAGTACTCCTATCACCTGCTGTCCCAATGGGCAATAATCCTTCAGTGGCCAATGTATTTCCGATCTGTAAAAGATATTGTGATAGAGTTACTGTGAAAGACCCAAAGATGATGATCTGCCAATGAATACTGCACAATCTCAGTACATTAATGAGCTATTTAATTGCACAGTTGCAAAGTAAATTGTACATAGATCGAATTCAAAGCAAAACACGTCAGCATTTCAGATGCTTTACCAGTTGAAGGGAGTAATTTAATCAGCAGAACTTGGAAATGGTCCTTGTCCCTCTGTTACTTTTCTCTGTAAATACATTTGGAAGTAAGCTCAGTTTACTGGTATATAAAAGTGTCTGTTATTTTTTAGATAGAGGTGCTTATATAGTTTATTTTTCACATCACTAAGGTCACACTGGACCCCGGAAAGCATTGTACCCGGTGTACACACAATCACAGTATCATAGCATGTATAGAAGAGTGTAAAAAGTGAATCAACTCCTGATGCGTGAATGTGTACTGTGTATTGAACTGTTTTTATACTGAGAAACTGATACTAAGTTTGAACATATATGCAAGGCTGCTTGATGTAGACTTAGCAGGTTACATGTCAGATTTACACTTTTACTGCAGGCTGTTAAAATAACCATCAGAAGCAAAATGTATCTCAAAATAAACAGACTCCTCCAAGAATTACGTTGCGTCAGTGTCACTGTTTATTGGCAGCTGGTGACTGCATCAGCCACTGGATGTTTGCACAGCTCCATGATCAATTCAAGAGTTGTTGCCTCTGATTAAAATGCAGGCTTTCTCTCTCCCCCACTAGATATCTGAATGGCGGGGAGAGGACAGGGGTCCCTCCCCCTTGGACTCTCCAGCACTGCTAACAAGAGTATCACATAACTGAGATATTTTAAACCACATCAGGGTTACAGATACAATCTGCCTGGATACCAGTTAGGAATGGTGCAAGGAACTATGGGTATTAAAAAAAACTACATTTGGGAAGGACCAAAAGCAGCCCCATGAATGTGAAAGACCTGATCCCATCCGCTGTGCTACTGCATGACACAAACACTTTGGGGAGAAGCTGGACTCCAACTGTAGAGTGGGACTTGGAGCCATTGAGTAATGCAGCTTGAATGATCCTTCCTGGAGCCCCTTCCGTCCGTCTCATGGTGATGGGCAGGGGTTACTTGATACAACCGGAGTAAAGGAGAGCACGACAAACGGAGAGTGAAACGCTAACGTGCCAAATCCCCAGCTGGTGTAAAGCAGAGTAACGCCACTGCAGGCGACCTCAGCTGAGGCGTAGCCCCTAAAATAGCTACATTTGTAGCAAGCGATCTCATCAGGCTGGAATTGTGTCCGCGCCATCCAATCCCAGTCCAGACACTCGCACCAGAGTGCGCTCAGCTAGACAGGCTGCGTAGACCCAGAAAACAGCTGGGGATGCCCCATATTTATCAGAGCAGAGATGACAGCCCCTGCATGGAGGCTGTATTCAGTATGCTCTGCCAGCCTCCACCATGCCACAGAACAAGGAGCAATGGTCTCAAGTTGCAGTGGGGGAGGTTTAGGATGGATATTAGGAAACACTATTTCACTAGGAGGGTGGTGAAGCACTGGAATGCGTTACCTAGGGAGGTGGTGGAGTCTCCTTCCTTGGAGGTTTTTAAGGCCCGGCTTGACAAAGCCCTGGCTGGGATGATTTAGTTGGGAATTGGTCCTGCTTTGAGCAGGGGGTTGGACTAGATGACCTCCTGAGGTCCCTTCCAACCCTGATATTCTATGATTCTATGATTCTATGATTGCCTCCCCAGGGTGGGGCCTGAGAAACAAAGCCAGGGCTTCCACAGTGAACTGTACACTAACATTAAGCCCATTTGTACCGTGTCCCAGGCCTCCTCCATTAGATGGCAATAATAACACTTAGTTGTTATGTAGCCCTTCCCATCTGTACACTTACAAAGGAGGGCAGTATCATTATCCCCATTTTACAGATGAGACCTGGACAGGCTAAATGACTTGCCAAAGGTCACCCAGCAGATCAGCAGCAGAGCCAGGAATGGAACCCAGGGCTCCTGAGTCCCAGGCTGGTATTCGAGCCCCGAGGGAAACGCATTCAATAGGTGAGAGCCTGAATGGTTGTAAAGAGCTCTGTAAGTGCTTATTATTATTTTATTAGCAGGCCTTAAACCATACTGAGGCCAAAAATGGGCTCGAACTTGCCCAAAGCTGGTGTGTTCCAAAGCAGCATTGCCTTGTACATTTCTTTGAGAGAAAATAATAACTCAGATGATCAAAGCAAGCAGGAAACACCAGCAATCTGGACACATGTCAGAGGGCAGGAGAGAGCCGAGATGGCTGAAATGTAAGCATCTGTCCGTGCACACCTCCCATTCCTTCAGCAGTGGGAATTTCACACGGTGGTGGCTTCTTTCTCAAGCAGTAACTCTTGGGCATGCATTCAGGCCGCACATACTACTGTTTCCCCAGGCCTGTGTTTGGCTGTGCGCTATGTGGGCTTGATCCAACACCCAGCTGAAATCAATTGGAATCGTTCCATTGACTTCAGTGGGCACTGGATCAGGCTCCGGTAGCATGAAAGAGTCTATGCTTTCAGCAGTGCGGCGTAGTATTATTATTAGTTATTACGTACCGCCTGTGTGCACAGCCCTTGCTTCCCCCTCTCCCAAAAACTCTTACCATCTCCAAAAGCCAGCCAACAATTGAGCAAGGGCCACCCCGGGAATGACTAAGGGAGGGGGTTACTGTTCTCGACTCACTTCTTGTGGGCAGCTCAGAGCGTGTGGCTCTTAGCAGGGAGGTGAAAGAAGTGAAGAGGTCTCCACCTAGCCGAGACCATTCTAGGCACTGGGGGGAAGTTCTGAAGCCAGCAGTGGGACGTGACCGCATAGGTATAGACTGGAGCCCTTGACCTATTTCCGTGCCGTTGACCCTCCACGGTCTGGGTAAAGCAGCCTGTCATTTGGGGCAGGGAGAACGTCTCCTGCCAATTGCAGAACCTGCTTGAGCGCAGGGGGCTCAGGCATGAAAACCAGTTCTGGTCCTGTGTAGATGAGGGTGCTTATATTTTATTCCCTGGTTCTCCTTGGAGCAGGACAAGACCTGACTGGTTATTAGCACGGGCCTCTCTTCAATTAGCAAGCTATAGGCTGATGTAGTAACGCCCCAAAGGAAAAAACACGAGCTAGAGGATTAAAAACAATTTTCATAAGACTCCCCCAAACTCTCCAACTCCCATCCCTCCCCCCAATACAACCCAGCCATAATCAGAGCAGAATTAATCCACAGCGCGAGGCCTCTTTCTCCACTGGGCTGGATGAAGGGCACAGAGTGGATCGGGTCATGCACCCACTCCATGTACGTTGAAAAGCATAATTTGTTTAAGACAAAAGGATATTGTGGAGCAGGAGTGCAGGGGAAACAACAGGGCCAGGTTCTGGTTAATAGTGTCATGAACTCAGGCGTCATTCAAGATGAATAACAGCATCAGGATCTGGCCCAAAGATTGCGCTGTCAGAACCAGTCGCTGGTAAAACAGCAGCTAGAGGGTTAGAACCTTTGGGGTGGGGATCTCCCCGGTTAGGCATTCCAGTCTCAGGGAGAGGGAATTCAGAACATTTGCAAGTACTGCCCAAGAGGCAGTGCATTTGGGCAGTGTAGTTTGATGTCTGTTACAACATATTTTTTTAAACAGAACGTGAATTACTTCCTCTGTTGACCAACTGGAGCAAGCCCACGGCTCAGCCTTGTTTTGTAAATTGTACTAAGTCGAGGCCTGTAGGTGCACATTTTCTCAAGCCCCTCTCCCTGCTGCAGGAATGTATAGAAGGGTTGCAGATGCCTCAAGCCAAAAACCTGCACTCAAATTAGATTAATCCATCACAGACAATAAAACCCAGAGTATTTTTAATTCTGTCAATTAACAAGAAAGCCTAAATAAGGAAATACACAGGAACCATTTTCCAAATGAATGAATGCCCTGTTAGGAATACGCTACAGCAATGTTGCTGTTTTAAAAGGCCAGTCAGTCACTACAGGAAAAAATGTGAATCAAGGAAGATTTTAAGAGACACATCTGTAGGGCTCGAGGCCTAACTATCCTTCAGGTATGATCATGTCTTCAAGGAATCCAGGTTCATGATGGCGGCGTTAATGCTACTAAAAATGTGTGGGCATTTCTGTGTTTGCATACACTGCCATGGAAAATCCTGCCTGTTTCACCCCCCACCCCAAGTTTATTGACACTATTGCCTATACATGGAAGAATGATATCCCTGCATAGTCCTGAATACACCAGAGTCATGTTTAATCAAATCAGAATAGACACGGGCTACCATTTGAACACAGCTGTTTGATAAGTGTCGTAACCTCTCCTCAACTTACCTGACAGACACATTACTAGCCTGGCTCATATCATTAGCTATTTCAGTGGCAAAGAAAAGTGTAACAGCTCCCCTATTTCAGCCTTACAACGGCCTTAGCAAATTGCCCACTTAGTTCCATGTCCAGTGCGGCTCAGAAAGACTGCGCACTTAGCTAGATGCCGCCAAGGGGACACAACGTGTTCCTGCAGCTGAAATCTGTTCCCTAGTATGTCGTTTGGCGTGCACAAAGCAGGGCTGGATTTTTAAGTGCTTAACATTTAATCAGATGTCGTTTATCTAACATTAAAAAAAAAAAGCCATCTGCTTCTAGAAGTATTCCTCTGTTTGAAGCAGGGATCGACAACCTTTGTCACGCGGCAGCCAGCACATCCCTCGGCCTGCACAGCTTCCCACAGCCCCCATTGGCTTGGAGCGGCGAACCGCAGCCAGTGGGAGCCACGATCGGCCAAACCTGCGGACGCGGCAGGTAAACAAACTGGCCCGGCCCGCCAGGGGCTTTCCCTGATGGGCTGCGTGCCAAAGGTTGCCGATCCCTGCTTTAAAGCATAAGACTAGGCCATCTTTTAAGGAGTGTAGAAAGGGCATTATTTTGGTAGGCAATGGCTGCACCCCATCACGGCACAAGCAGAAGTTTATTAGCTCATTAGGGCCCTGATCCTTAGAGTCTTGACTAAGTAAGGACTGCATGATTATTATCTATTAGTAGGCTTGGGCCCCCTGTGAGGAGAAAATGGGTCAGAAATCCCCTGTTCTTTAATACGCAATTTTAGTTGCCTTTCATGTGACTACTTTGTGGCATTCATTAAGAGCAAAGCTCTAGCATAGCCAAAGACAATTAAGAAAACCTTGCAGAAAGACAAGGTAGGTGTAAAGGCAAGCGACTGGAACAGGGGAGGCAACTCAAAGCCCCAGTTCTTTGCCAAACGGCACTGATGTTAAAGGAAGAGACGCTAATGAAAGGCAAGTGCAATTATAATGTAATGAACCCACCACAACTAGAGTGAGACCATCACTTCGCTAATGGAGCTGTGGGTCTGCCCTCAGCCTGTGCTGGCTGCATGTAGGGCTGCTGCCTCTCCGTGGCTTTGCTCATTAGCTCCCAGGGTCCGGCAGCAGGTCTGATTTACTGGTGTAAAAAAATCTAGGCCCAGGTTCTCAGGTTGCTTTGCTCTGTGTTCTCTGCACACGTGACCTTACAACTGGTAACCAAGGGCTCCTCATCATACAGAGCCACAAGAACAGTTTGTACCCGGCCCCTGACACTGGGAGCGTGACCAGGGA